GGACAGCTGAAGAAGTCTATTTTATTACAGTTCAGGAATAATTTATTTTGTTTGAATAGTAAGTATGTATGTAGGCAGCAAAGATCAAACATTTATATCACAGTTAAATGGTCTATGGACAAATCATTCATCATGGCCCTCATCGGATAATATTTATTAAGCAGCTGCATGAGTCACATAATAACTTTTATTTATTGAGGAAAGCTATTTAGTTATCTTATACTTATATATGTTTTTTTGCCTTTGTAATTTATTCTTATACATTGCTTGCTACCAGAATTAGGCGATCTTATTTATGGGGTTATGTCTAGCAGCTGAATGTCAAATGGGGTAAATACAGGGTCCGGCACAAGTAATGCCCCTTGTGTTAATTACAAACTTTTATTACAAAATCGTAAGCATGTAATTCTGTAACATAACAATATCACACTCAGGCACACCATATGACATTTTAGGTGAAATGTTCAAATTGAAACTATAAATTATTATACCCGTATTATTACCCTACCAACCACATTCAAGCTGGAGTTACTTCTGCCAGATTCTGTAACTTTAGAAAGTACTTTTTAAAGTAAAATACTTTCTAGATACTGCTAGTTTGTAGTTAAAATCAGAAGTAATATTTTCACTGAAAGCACAAAGTAAAACCATTAAGTTGTTTGAGGTTATATATTTGAAAGTACAGATGCTTATTAAAATAAAAGACAAAAATAACTATATTATCATTTAGGTTTTTTATATATTAATTGAGGCATGTTTTAAGTCAGACTGCTATAACAGAATATCATAGACTGGGTGGCTTATAGACGACAGACATCTATCACAGTTCTGGAGTCTGGGAAGTCCAAAATCAAGGTGCCACAGGCAGATTTGGTAACTGATTCATAGATGACTCTCTTCTTGCTGAGTCCTCATATGATGGATGTGGCTGGGGAACTCTGTCGTGTCTCTTATTGGGGCACTGATCCCATATATGAGGGTCCTATCCTTGTAACCTAATCACCTATCCAGGCCTATCTCCCAATTCTATCACATTAGAGATTAGGATTTCAATTTATGAATTTAGGGGAGACAAATATTTAATCTATAGCAAGGTCTACAGAAAAGCTACATTTATTCTGTATGATATTCTATGAATGCACATAATTCTTTGTATTCTATAATATGTAATTTCAAAAGGTTTTAGTTTTTATCTCCAAATTAGAATTTGTTAAATACTCCAATTTATTTAAACCAAATCTAAAATTTTGGTTTTTATTTAGCTATTTTAAACTACATTGTCTTTCAGGAAATATTTGGTGACTCCTTAAGATTTTATTGAAGGTCTTATAATGTACTAATGGAATTTTAGAAAAAAACTCTTCAATGTAATTGTTCAAATAATGATTCTATGATCACTACTTTTAAGAGTGAAAGATTCTTTAATAAATCTCATTAGGAACCTCTGCAGTTAAGGTACAAAGTCAAAATCAGGAATACAGGCCTCTGAACTTGACACTGAAATTGTAGTAGATCGATCAGGAGTGAAATATTTTCCTCATTATTCTTATTTATGTAAGTAGCATGTTCTTTGACTTTGGGTTCTATATAGATATTTCTTTCCATAAATTTATTTTCTAAAATTTGAAAACTTTGCCCTCAAATTAGGAAAATATTTATGTTCTACTAGCTTTTACATTTTATCATTACTCTTAATATTTTCAGATGATCATGTGATTGCTAACTCTTTGAATTTTTCCAGTATTAATTTCCTAATGAGCTATGATAATATTTGTTTAAATTAATTATCTCATTTTCCTAAAGAGCAGTGTAAGTACAGTTGTTTTTGAGTTTAAAGCTCAATGTATTATTTCAAATTTTAATGATTATGGGTCATTTCTTTCATACAATAACATCACTTTATAAAAGGTGCTAATAAAAAAATTACTTTGAAAATGCAATTCCTCTCTAGAAATGACACCTTATATTTAACCTTACATTACCATTGTAAGTATAACATTTTGCTTTCTCACCCTCACACAGGCAGACGTAGTTTTAAAATAAGAAGCTTCCTTCACATAGTGGAGGAAACAGCCCTCTGAACCTGCTTCCACATTTAGAGTCCATCAAATAATGGCCAAATCCTTTATTATCTCTGAATATCCTATTCCTTTTCTTAATTGTTTAGGTTGGTATCTGGCAGATCATACTGTTGTCCAAGGAAAGGAAGAGCCTGTTAATCTCTGATGGGCTCAGCCTCATTCTAGGTTCCTAGTGAGATGTGTTGGGCTCATATCTAGCAAAAGGTGGCCCTAATTAACATGACTGGATTTTTTGGTCACGTGTTCACAGTGCCAGAGAAATAATTAAGCCTGGGAAATAAGCCCCCAAACTAGCTTTAAAACTTCTTCCCCTCCCCCACCCCAACAAACAACTTTATAAACAGTTTTTCTAAAAAAGGAGTCTGCACTGCTTTTTCCTTCTATATATAAAAACGCTCCAACCAGGCTCCTGATGACAGAGGGGTTTCCATTAAGCCCAAGGTTTTGTTTTGTGTTCTATGTCTGTGTGATGGTGGGTTCTTTTTTTTTTTTTTAATTAAACAAAAGTTAGTGATGACTTCCTTTAAACTGTCCATGTGAAAATAAAGAGCTATAGTTTCTGTTGAAAAAAAGCAGATCAGTAATAAACAAATAAAACAACATAACACAAATAAGTAGGAAAGTAAGAGTATCCAAGACAGACAATAGGTCTATGAAAAGATTAAAGGAAGTGTTTTCACTTTGATGGCTCTAAATCCGGCCTTTCTCCCATTGTCAGGATTCTGAGTCCTGACCAACGTCCTAAGTTTGCTGCCCAAGGAGCTTGTGTCCAAGAAGTGAGAGAATCCAAACTTCCCTCCTTAAAATGTTAAGCTAATGAATTAATGGATTCCTGCAGATCTTTGTTTTTGTCTTCTTTCACATCATAGTTTTATAACTAGATGTGAAATATATAAGTACAAGTGAGCTTTTATCTGTTTTAGAATTATCATCCTTTAATACTTCCCCCAACAGTCTCCTCAAATAATTTGACAGTAAACTCAAATCACCAGAAATATACATTTAGTGACATTTGTTTTAATGAAATATATACAGTTCCTTAGGACCTATGAAATACATCTTATTTTTTGAAAGAAATTTAGTAGGTAATATTAAAATGATAAAGGACTTGGTTAATTAAAACCAACTTGTTTAATACAAGTCATTTTTCCAAGTCCAATCATTTTTGTTTTTCCTGAATCAATATATATTTTATATATCTCTATCTATCTATCTATCTATCTATCTATCTATCTAATCAACTCTCAAAGACTACTTTATTGGTCAATCTTATCTCCATCTGAATCATTTGAAATTCTTTTTAATTTAGGATAATTCTGAGTCACATTTTATTTTCTTAAAGGAGATAAAAAAGCATTTTAAAATGAGCTGAAGTTATTAAAAGGGACATTTGTAGAAATCTGTGTACATAACATATTCCAGTGGTTGAATGCTCTCTAGTGAATCCTCCTCTTTTTTTCACAAAGCTTCAAAGAATAACTCCAAACTCAGGCTTTATGGAATTTACATGGAATTTAATGAAATAAGGCATTCTGCAACATAAGGTAGTAATTATTTGTAAGAAAGATATAAATTTAAAAAAATTAAAGAGCCATTTTAAAAGAATTTACATTATTAAGTAAGGACACTTTAATAGACATCCCCAGCCTCTGAAGTCATGTCTAATTTTGACCTCTTCTTTGGAAAAATGATACATCTAATTCCAGATTGGATGAATCAAAGACATTTATTCAAATCTTAAACTGCCTTGGAGGGTGTCAACTTGAGTTTTATCCAGCAATATCTTGAATAACCATTGGAATTGTAAAGGTAAATGAGGAGTTTACATTGACTTTACTCTTATGAACCATAAACATTTTTGTGTATGTTTTGAGGGGACATATGAATTTTAGTTGTTCCAGAATGTTTTGAGTTATACTTTGTTTAAGTGAGTAACATTAAAGACAAAAAGAAAGTCCAAGTTGTGGTAAAAATTTAATTTTTTTTTTTTTTTTACTTTATAACTAAGATTTCATGATCTTTACAAAGTATGCAGTTGTAAGAATTGCAGTTTGACTAGGAAAGCAAGAAATAAACCTGCCTAGGAATAAGAAATTTACTTTTATAATGCCAACAAGTTGATTGAAAAGAAAAAAAATAGCATATCAGCTTAGAATATATTTATTATATTAGAGAAAAACCATGGTTGATACCATTATGAAATTTGCATATATTTAAGCAAATTAATTTTAGGAAAAATTATATAGTTATTTTAGAAATACTGTATATTCAGCCTATTTAAATTATAGTGGTATATGGAAATAAATGCCTTTAAAGAACTTTTAAAGAACAACCTAATTTGGTGCTTGAAAAGAAAATTGGAAGGGAGATACCAGTAATGATTAGTTAAATTTGTTATAACTCTGCTCTCTGGACCAACATTCATTTTCCTTTTCTTAATTTCTTTAATGGCCAAACTTAGAGTGGATTGCTTTTTAGTTTTCCTACTTGAACACTATATTACTCATGAATGTTTTTCAATTTCCAAAGTAAGAAAAATTATTTTTTAAAAAACCATGTATGTGGTACTCAAATATTAATAAGTAGAAAGATTTTACATCTAATATTAATAAATGAGTAGACAGGTCTAGGAAATTTAAGCACTAGTAGGTTATGCTTTTTTTAAACTGATCTAGATAAAGCCAAGCTAAAGTATGCTCTTTTATAAGCAGAAAAATTTCACAGTTGAGTCTGCCTTGTCAACTCATTGTTTTAGGTTAAGTGTGATAGTAATAATGAAAAATTGAATTTTTTATTCCACTCAATTACTATAAAAATTTATGTGACAAAAATCCCTGGTAATACAAATGCAAATGAAAACTCAGGAAAAAATGACAGGTTGAAAGACTTTATGTGGTTTATGTTTCTGTTTACCAATAGCTCACAATACCATGAATGACACTGATGTCCATATGGAAACCACTGAATGCATTCAAGGTCAAGGAGAAGGTTACCGGGGCACCATCAATACCATCTGGAATGGAATTCCATGTCAGCGATGGGATTCCCAGCATCCTCACCAGCATGATATAACTCCTGAGAATTTCAAGTGCAAGTGAGTAAATTAGGCAAATAAAAATTTCCAGTAAGCCCTGGGGAAATGAGGCAGGGTGGATGCTTTTCACTAATTTCTGTATTTGTGATCCTTAAACTTTAGTGTGCCTAGGAATTATCAGAAGTTAAAAGTCAGATTAATCCACTCAGATTTTAATATTTGGACTTCAAATATAACACACTAGATGATTCTAAGTCAGATAATTGATGTACCATGCATGGGGGAAACACATATACAAGTTTCTGATCATAGCTTTGTTCTTGCAGTTCTATTTAATAAACCATTCTAAATTTTCATATTAATTTTAGGGGAGATTACATATTTTTTTCTCCTAAAAGAAGAGGAAAATCTTGATTTCAGCTGATGTAAACTGGTGTGTTTTCAGCCTTGAAACAAAATTATTTTTAAAATTTAAAGGAATTTTTTTATTGTTTCTAATTTTTTTATTGTTTTTATTGTTTAAATTTTCTTTAAAAAATGGGGAAGTAAAGCAATTGTTTCTATGAATCAAGCCAAAGAAACATCCCTTGAATACCAACTATGTAGTTGTATGTGCCTTCCCTGTGGCTGCTTTTTCTCACCGTTTGACTTTTGTTGGACAGACACCGACACAATGCCATGTGTTTTTAAATTGTCCACCTTGTTATGGGAAACATAAAATGATTGCTTTTAAAATTTATAACACACATGTCATTCATAGTGGCTTTGCTGAAATAGCACCTATAAATAACATATATTGGCTTTTTATGTAATTGGATTTTAATAAGAGAGCTTAACATTTCAAGATGGAGAATTATGAGCACTAGTTGGCCCAACCACTAGAAAGGGGAGATATTTTATTTTTTATTTTTTTTAGTTAATTTAATATATTTACTTAGATAGTAAATATTCATCTGGTATGAGTTTTTCATTATTTTATAAAAACAAATTTATAGTTGTCATTCTGGGTTTATTTCCCACCATTTTCTTCACAGCAGCACGCTATTCACAACCTATGTGTTTCACACTTTAGAAATCAATATTGAAGTAGAGAAAGCAAAGAAAATGAGGAAAGGTCAGTTAAGAGAGACAAAGAAGACAGTGTCAGTGCCATTCACACTTTGCTAACTTCTGATGACTGGAAACACTCAAGTGAGAGATTGTGTATGTGTGAATACCCAATCAGATTCAACTGTAAGGAAAGGAGAATAATTATACAAATTTAATTCATACATTTCACAGTTAAAAATTATCAAAAGTTTAACTGTTATTTGTTTTATGAATTTAAATCATCCTTTCTTAATTTAGTTCTTTGGTTAAGATACCCAAACTTATGAACCAAAAAGCAAAATGTGAGCTGTGTTATAAAAAACACATAAAACCTGACTCAACATTTTTCTCAGAATATTGCTGCTTTTAATATTTGTGGTCTAGTAGAGAATAGGTGCTAGTCAGTTGTCTCTGTATTCAACACTATTTGCCTCAATACTAAGACTCCTTAGGAATGACAGTTTTTAAAACTATAACTCAACTATAGTGCCTATGATGAATCTACATGAATTATATAATGATTAATTTGTTTTAGCAATTGTAAACGATCCTTTCATCAAGGGAAGGGAAAGATTTTAGGAAAAATATTTGGGCACACCTTGACTCTCAGTCTTGCTTAATCTAGATTAATGAGGTGCTTCTAGATGGATTTTGAAAGTGGGCCTAAACTAAGACTTTTGTTAGCCTTAGATCTCTGTTTAATGACCTTGCCTTACATTAACAATACAAAATAATTTAACTAAGCAATTCTTTACTAAAATTATAAATTTGCGTAAACTTTATGTAAATTTAAATGCACACATTTTGTACTGACATACGCTTTTGAAACATAAGTATAAATTGGTTTGAAAGAAAAAAAAGATTTTTTTATCTTTCCAGTTAATAATTTTATCATTTTATAATAAGGCTAATGGCTTGAATATGGGTTATAATTAGGAAAACTTGCTATATTGTGGCCTTAACTATTGGTAATCACTGTCAGGACAGTGATTAAACAATAAAGTTTGTGTCAGGACCTATTTTTTACTATAAAAACTGTTAGTTTCTGACTTTATAACTAAACCCAAGCTTCTTCCTTTAAAAAGCCTCAGTTTCTAATGGTCAGCTATTAATAAAATTATAGTGCTTCTAATTGCACCTAAGGTAAATGATGTGGTTTCCAATAGATTGAATATTAATTTTTGTAAAATTATTAGCCACAGATCTAAGTACAAGCTTGCTTCAAATTAGAGAGCATTTTCTAGCAAAGAAAATTATAAATTTAACATTTTATTTAAAATCAACCTTATATTAAAGTTCACATTAAAATCCTTTTACATACAGAAAATATTGATATAGATTTTTTCCTTATTGAGTGCTCAAAATGCTTAATCAATCACTGGTAAAATAAAGGATGTCCATATACTATGACAACTCCTTTTCTTAGGTTATTTTATTATAGTTATGCTTTCATTTTATGAAAAATATTTATAAAGATTTGGGTAACTTCTCTAAATCAAGAAATAACTACTTTGAGGTTAAAATAAATACATCGATGAAGCAAATTAAATCAAGGAAACAGAATTCAAAGAAGAAATAGCTACTTGTTTTTTGGTGGCAAATGTTTGAATAGGTGAAACTTTGATTTTAAATTAGAGTAGTTAATGACTATCAGTAGCAGCCTTTCTTCTGCAGAAAGATACATGTTGTTTCTACATTATATATGAGCCATAAAATAACTGGTCAGTTTTTACAAAATTTGAAACCATTGCGAGTCCAAATTTTGAGAATGAGTGAGAGGAATGAAGTGGTACTAGTTTTCTCTTTCATGAAGCAATAGTGTTTTTCTGGAACTCCAGGCCTATAGAAGGAAAAGAATACCAACGTCCTGACAGCATTAATTTCAGTAGTGGAGGCAGTGTCTGTTGTGTATACTGAATTAAATTCTTAAAACCATCCTAAAACTAAAACTTAGAACTCTAATTATAGACAGGCATAGCTTCTGGGGTTCTAGATATAATAGAGCTGATCCCATCCAGGTAAGAACTTGGGCAATTTACATTAACATGCTTATTCTCAATAGGGACCTAAGAGAAAATTATTGCCGAAATCCAGATGGGGCTGAGTCACCCTGGTGTTTTACCACTGATCCAAACATCCGAGTTGGCTACTGCTCCCAAATTCCAAAATGTGACGTGTCAAGTGGACAAGGTAACAGTTGACATTTTGCAGTGTGGGCATGATTAAATTCAGGGGAAATGGCTAACGGGAGTTCACGTGTTACAGCAGAAGGCCTACTTCTCATTGTACTGTTTTCGCTGAAGAGCAAATAAAGTCTCCAAATCGAAAATTGGATTTCTTTTTCATATCAATTTACTTAACACATTTATTTATTTGCATGTTTACTAGAGCCAGATGCAATTCTGGGCACTGGAGATATACTAGGAAACAGAACAAAATTCTCTGACACCATGGAACTAATTTGTACTAAGCAGAAAACAAGAAAAAAAAAAAAAGAGGTGGGGAAAGTTAATAAATACTAGGGATAAAAGTGTCCCAGTTAGAAGAGATGGGTTTTGCTACTTTACATTTTGTTTCAAAAGATCATATGATTAAGGAAACACTTAAAGAATCCCTGAAAGAAGTGAGGAAGCAGCATGTGCCACATGCGTATATTTATAAAGAGCATTTTACATAGAGAAAATCCACAGTTGAAAATGATGACAAGGGAGAGTGCTTGAAAATTTAAAGGAAAGAAATATCACATCATTGTGGCTAGTACGGAAAGATCAAGATAGTAGCAGGAGATGAGGCACAGAGCAATCAGGTTAAAATTGCATAGGCCTTGTAGGAATCCGAAGGATTTACACTTTTGTTCTGAAAGAAAAATAGCTCTGCTGTTGGGCTCTGAGAAGAGAAATTAAATTACCTATCTGCTTTACATTTTAACTGGACGACTCTGGCTGCATTATGGAAAATAGCCAGAACTTTGGACAGGAGCCGCAACAAGGGAATCACCACAACTGAGTGGTTCAGTAATTTAGGCACAAGATGAGAGTGATGGGGACCTGGGAGTTAGCAGTGGAGAGGATATGTAGCAGCGAGGTTTCGGATAAATCACCCGTGTCCTTGGAAACATAGACGCCGTTGAAGACAACTGTTTCAGGGGTCAATAGTAGAGAAAAGTCAGATTGAGATAGGTTTAAAAAAGAAATCCCTTGTCAAAGATTAATAATAATGTTGGGCTCTGGGCACTTATTGGTATACAATGAATTGAGTTATAATTTTCAAATACTAATATTTTTTCACAAATATTTAATAACGATGGTCATGGTCAGTCCTAAATCATCCTGAAAAATCCAACCCAAACTTAAAACTTCATTTCATAGATGTAATTCCTATCCATACTCATCTATTTTTTTAACTTCTTTCTCAGTGACATTTTTCATGAACAACTCTGAAAAGAGTTGTAGAGAAAGGAAGGGATGAGTCCCTTTTCAGTCAATTTCAGTGTACTTTGGCAGATTTTAAAGATAATTTGGAAAGGTAGATAAAACCAATGATTAAGGGAATTTTGGTACCAACTGGATGTTTTGTTCCTATCTTGTTCATTTAAACTGTTACTGATAATTTGTGATAATAGAGGCAAATGAGAAGAATTGTTTTATAAGCTTCTGGTGTGTATTGAGATACTTTTAGATACAGTACCTATATATTACTTATTAAAGGAACAAGTAATATAAAATGAACATTGTGGATTTTAGAAGTTAGGTAGATGTTATTATTTACCTATTAAGTGCATACAGTAATAGAGGAAGAAATTAGTTTTATGGAATTTAAAGAACTTGCCTCAGTACTCAAATTAGCACAGCTGGGATTGAATATAACTCTCTTTAGGATGCTCTTTCCACTACCCCATGCTTTCTCTCTTGTATTAATACTTTAAGAGCATATTGCACTTTTAAAAAATAATGCATTATACCTGATACATTGCAACAAAGTACAGGCTCCATGGGGCAACTTAAAAATGAAGTCCTACTTAAGAGACACAGTTAGCCAGTTCGATGTACAGCTGTGATATTTTAACACTGTTATGCTATTCCATGATATTACCAAGCTAGTTTTATGCATTGTTATATATATGACATGTGTGCATTCACATTGATACACACACACATACAGACAAAAGGATGTTGCTCATATCCTCCTTATATAATAGAAAATATAAATTATACATATAGATTGATGAGTTAGGAATTTTTTCTCAAATCTTGCAAAAATCAGTTAGCATATGTGTAAATGCTCTTTTAATTGGAATGGGGGAAAAATGGGGAAAACTGTAATTGAACAATAAAATTTTTTTAAAAAAATAACTTTAAAAATAAAAACTGAAGTTGCAAAATTTCTTTAAAATGTTGATAAAACATAATTTATTAGATTATATGAGGTACACTTAAGACAGTAACAGAACCAATTCACAGCTGTAAATATTTACATTAATATCATAAATAATGAAGACAAGTCAGTGAAATTTTCAGCTCAAAGAATTAGGGAGAGCCCTGGCTGGTATGGCTTAGTGGACTAAGCACAGGACTGGGAACCATAAGGTTGCCGGTTTGATTTCCAGTCAGGGTGCATGCGTAGGTTGTGGGGTGTATGAGAGGCAACCATTATACCTCTCTCTAAAGATAAATAAATAAAACCTTGAAAAAAAGAATTGGATGAAAAGTAAACCAAAAGCATTATAAGAAAGAAAGAAAGAAGGAAGGAAGGAAGGAAGGAAAAAAAGAAAGAAAGAAAGAAGGAAAGAGAAAGAAAGAAAGAAAGAAAAAAGAAAGAGAAGGCAGATAAAGGAAAAGGGAACTAATGAATAAGTGATGGTTCTTTGAAAAAATACAATTAATAAAATAGACACCGCCAACTAATTGTCTCAAGAAACAAATATATATAATACATTTTTATATTATAAAATATAATGATTTCAAATATGTAAATCGTTTTATATATTATATAATTATAAAATAAAATTATCAAGGGAGATAACCACGGACACAGGAAAATTAGAAAACATAAGAGATTACTTCATACAACCTAATGTAAAAAAATTTTGAAAATAAAAATAAAATGGGGAATTTACTAGGAAAATTCAAATTACTTGAATTGCTTCTGGTAGAGAAAAAAGCTTATATAGACTTAGTCCTATAGAAAAATATGATAATTTATTACTGAACTATTTCAGCAAAAATATACCATGCCTAGGTAAATTCACAGATGAGATCATTTCAGTGCTTATGTGAATTGCTCTGTAGCTTAAAAAATATAGTAAAACTTCCAAATTATTTCTATAATAGAATTACAGTATTGCTACTTAAACATGATAAAGATAGCACAAATATAGTTTCATCATCTCATTTGTGAATATTAACATACAGTTCCTAAATAAAATTTGAGTAAACAGTCCATTAAAGAAACCACCACTTAACTAATGGAGAAACATTAGAGGTACTCTTAATAGGGTTAAAAAATAAAATAAAATAAGAATGTCTGCTATCTCCTTTACTACTTAACATTGTAAATATGGTATTGTATTTTCCTTTAACATTATATCAGAGATATTGTACAATTAGATAAGGCACATCAATTGCATAAAAAGCAAAAGACCTCTCTTTATGCAAATGACATAAAGGTAATATACTTGGAAGACTGAATTTAAATAATAAAAATAATTTACAAAGGTAGCGAGATATACAATTAATATACAGATATCAATCACATTATGTATAAGCTTGATGATCTAATTAAATAGAAAACTGCACCTATACTAGCAAGAAAATTGATGGAAACTTAGGAATATACTTAGAAATGTGCAACATATATGTAATAAAAATTTTAGCCTTGGCTACTGTGGCTCAGTGGATTTAGCGACGGCCTGCAAACCAAAGGATCTCCAGTTCTGTTCCCAGTCAGAGCACATGCCTGGGTTGCAGGCCAGGTCCCCAGTGGGGGGCCTCCGAGAAGCAACCACACATTGATGTTTCTCTCTTTCTCCCTCCCTTCCCCTCTCTAAAAATAAATAAATAAAATATTTAAAAAAAATTAAATCACTCCTGAAAGCCACCAAAGTATCTTTACCATATAGAAAAACATCCCTTGTCCTTAGTAAAAGAGCCCAATATCATAAATATATAAATTATGCCTATGCTAATTTATACATTTGATATTAATAAATATATCAACAGATATTCTTTTAAAAATACCAAAGAGAGTGATTATAAAACTTTCCTGGAAGAATAGGTAACAAACACAATAAAATATTGTAAGATGGCAAAAAATATGATAAAACTCTGCATGAGCTAATATGGAGTAAATTTCAGGTGTTGTGTTAAGTTTCTTAAAAAAGCAAGATACTAAAGTATATATTTGGTATTCTTTTATTCATAAATAAAGGGCTTTGCTATTACTAAAACTAGACATAATAATACATATGTAGAATATATACAAATAATTTATATATTCATAGTATATATGTATATGTATGTTATATATAGATACATGCATACATTTTCACTATGTTAACTGATTCTTGATCAAATTATTTATTTATACATTTTATTAGGATTTTTACCTATTATTTATAATCACAGAGCAGAATTAAAACCAATGATAATATACTATGGTTTACAAAGTTTAATAGTAAAATCCACAGTTCTTATTCATGCAAAACTTACTGTTTCAAGATAGGAATTTTAAAAATATGTGATATTATTTCAAAAAACGGAATAATGGTTCTTTTGGAAGAACTTGAATTCTTTTTTATGATTTTTGAAAGTAAGAATATGAACATATACTAATGTTTAATAGAACACAAACTGCTCAACTGAAAAAAAGAATAAAAAATAAAAACATGTGGTTTGACTTGGGTGGTAGACACACAGTGCAATACAAAGGTCTTGTATCATAGAAGTATATACTTGAAACCTATATTAACCAATGCACCCCAATAAATTTAATAACAATTAATAAAAACACATGAGATATGATGAAAGATATAGGATCCAGTTTAAAGTGGCTTCCATTAGCTAATTTTGGACAATTTGTGCATCAAAATGAACAATAGGAATAGATTACATATCCCCCCAGACAGACAAACAAACAAACGAACAAGGTTTCAACTGCCCGTTGCCATAAAAGACAACCTTGTGAGGTGGGTGCTGATGCAGTAGGAAAAAGGTGTATTTGGATGCTGAACCATTTTGGAGAATGGAGGACTCCCTGTCTTGAGGTTTAGCTCAGAACCCGGCCATCCTCGTGAAGACCAGGACAAAAGGCAGTGCTCAAAGTTTCTGTTCCATTTCAAAGTACAATCCTTTGGAGCCCAAGGCAGCAGCTAAGCGATCATCCAGGTAGCTTAGCTTGTTCTCAGCTGCTGTCCAGCTTCAGGCTCCCTCCTAGAGACTGTGTGTTGAGCCAGTGTGACCATGGCCGTGTAATTGCTAGGTCACTGGCCCATGGAGAGGACAGGCCACTGCACTGTCCCAAGCAGTTATCAACAAGTGAGAGGGAGAGAGAGTTAGTTTCTTTGTTCCCCTGAGGCTATATCCATTTTGGGTGTGGCACAGGCCAGATACTTATTTTGGGTGACTCTGCCTCCCAACCATCCCTTCTTTCCCCAGGCAAGACTGACAGGCCTCTTTGGTCCTGAACCTCCCCGCCACCATTCTGACTTCTAGGGTACATGTGCCTGCCTTCTCCTAGTCCTGCCCCCAATCTGGCACCAGAAGGGCAGGGGCAAAGGCTTGTCCCTTTATCTAATTATCTTTCCAGCATTTGGCATAGTGGTGGAGAGGAGGCCCTAAACATTAATCCCTCTATAGCCCTTAGCCTGCTGGGTCCCCATCCATTCATCTTTCCAGGTTTCTGTGGGCACTTGGGCCCTGTCCCTTCATATTTCCAGGTTTCATCAGGCTCAATGTAAGAAACTCCCCCTGACCCACCAGACTGGGGGCTGCCTGGCTACCCTGCCCTGGGCTGCAGTGGCTCCAAGCTAACACTGTTGCAGCTGGGCCCAACCACTGCTCCCACTGGGGGAGGTGCCACCCTGTGGCTGGTGGAGTCCACCAGGGTTCCCACTGCCTCTGGGCTGGACAGTCTCAGGCGAGATGCTGCGATCAGCCGAGCCTTTAGGCTCCTCTCCCCACCCACAGAGGTGCACCCCCTCCTCCCTGCAGCTCAGCACAGTCTGCGCAGCGCCGGGCTTCTCAGCCCCCTGAGAAGGAGCGGGCGGAGAGTATGGGTTTGTCTACCAGTAGCAGTAACACCTAAATGGAAGGAGTAAGGGAGAAGGAAAAACTCTTTTACAAGAATGACAACTAATATATAAAGAAGTGTAGGAAATGAAAAAATAACCAATTTAATACCAGCACAGTAATGATGCAGGCAAAATTAAACAATGTATGACTAAGCCATTTTGTAACTCTTGTGTGGCAGGAGACCTTTACTCAAGGTCTCAAGGCCCCCACAAGGTTTTTTGTTGTTACATAAAGAGCTGTTTTTCCATTACACCACTTAACCAAGTAACCAAACTCACCATCAATAATGAAGAACTGACATCATGTGACATATATAAAGCTCTGAAAAGGACAAAATACTACTTATGCAATATTCCTGACTTTAACTTGATTTTATTCATTAAAAAATAAAAAGATGAAATGAAATTAAAGAGCATTTGCAAAACAGCTGGCTTGGGTGATTCATGCCAATTTCATAAAAGATAAAATCGAAACACCACAAATGTGATGGGTATATGAGTATTCATTATGTCATTTTTTGGGGCACAGTAAAATTTTTCAGAAGAAAATGTTGGGAAATATAAATGTCATTCTAAAAATTCTCACTTTAAGTGTCCTTATAAGCCACTCATTTAATTTATTTGATTTTTTTAAAATGTATAATTTATGACATAAAAATCTCATTTTAATGAAAAAGAAATTTGGCTGAAAATAAAATAATTTGTACAGATTTTAGAGTGATTTAATTTTATGTTGATTTTTTGAATTTATATTTTTGTAAAATATGTTTTTGTTCTATACACCCTAGTTTTACTAGTTTTTTTTAATATTTATGTTTAGATTGTTATCGTGGGAATGGCAAAAATTATATGGGCAATTTATCTAAAACACGATCTGGACTAACATGTTCAATGTGGGACAAGAACATGGAAGACTTACATCGGTATGTAAATTTCTTTCAATATACAGTATGTAATAATAATAGGAAATAGTTATACTCAGGTATGTGCATTGCTATTGCTTTTCATTACTTACATATGATCGTAAGCTAACAAAAACATTAGATTGATATTCTTGTAACAAACTTTTAAATAAAAAATTTAAGCCAGCGTATATTCATTGAGCATTTGCTATATGTTCTGCCCTGTGATAGGTGCCATGGGGAACACTAGAAAAAGTGAGCATGCATTTTGGCCCTATTTTTAAGGAGGATTGAGAAAATAGTTATATAACTTGATAAGACAGTGTATAATTAAGTGTCAAATCTCATGTTTCAGGGAGTGCATTTTGTTATGATGTTCTCATAATTAATTAATTATTGTTCTTATTCATAAAATGCAATACATTATCATTTTCATGTAAATACACACCTTAATATTCAACTAAATAATCAAAACTTAGAAAGACAGGCTTCCTTGTATAATCTTATTTTGACATAAAATTTTTCTATAAGTCAAGGAAAATATATGTAATTGGAAAAAAATCTATATATTTTACAGAAGTAGATATTTTGTCATTGGACATATTCACAGAAAAATAAGTTCTTAACCTTAGCAATAGTGCTATTGTGTTTAAAATTACAAAATAAGTATAAGACATAGTTGTGACATAAAATCAATTTTTAATAAATATCCCAAATATATGTACTAGTAAAGATAAAAGTTTAGTGTCATTTGATCAAGTACCTAGTTGTTTTATATGAGTTGTTATTGCATTTGACCATTATAATCCTATTTGAGAGATATGTCTATATGTAGGAAAAAGAATTTAAGGACTTAGAGAAACTGAGTCATTTTGCCTCAATCCCACTTTAAATTTACAGCCTTTATTCTCTTCCAAAATGTACTCACTAGTGGATGATGTTATTTCAATTAATTTACTCCACAAATAGTGATAATTTTAAAGTAGTGCTCTCTAATGTAAATATACAATTCACATATGTAAGCTACTCCTGCACTTTTACATTTTCCAATAGCTACATTTAATGAAGTAAAAATAAACAGGCAAGTTTGTTTTTATTAATGTATTTATATTTAGAGTTTTTTCATTTTAATATGTATTCAATATAAAATTATTAATGAGATCTTTTACATTCTTATGTTAAAGTTTCAAAATCTGGTGTATATGTACAATTATAGCACTATTCAACTTAGACTAGTTACATATCAATTTCTCAGTAGCCACATGTAGCCAGTAGCTACTCTATGGGACACGGTAGCTGTAGGACTACAAGAATAAGCAGAATTCTGTCCTCATAGAACTCGTATTCTAGTAGGTAATGCCAAAAAACAGCAAATGCCAATACCACATTATAAAAATCATGAAAATAGCATATTGTATGCTGTGGGAATGGAAAAAAGAGACATCTAAACCTCTGATGGTCAGGAAGACTTCCTGGAGGAAGGGACACCAGCTGGGACATATGTGATAAATAGGAATTGGTAAAAGGAAATATAAGAGGAAGAGCACATCAGACAGATGAATAGCCAGTGCAAGAGACTAAAGATTTAAGTGTTTGAAAATCAGAAATAACTTTGGCAGGGTTGAAACAGTGTAATTCGGCCACTGTCCACGGACAAAGAATTCTCCAGCAAGGGCATAAAAAGTCCCGTAAATAGTGTTAAGAAATTTGGATTTTATCCTAAGCATTCAAAGGATTCATTAAAGAATTTAAGCAAGAATTAGATGTTTAAAATTAAATGCTGATTTCAGCATTGCTATTTTTAAAATCATTTTTAGAAATACAATGTGGTAGATCTGGTTCTTATGGACAGACTGGCGACAGCCAACTGGACCAGCTCTGCATTCAGTGATGTCTCATCAGGAGGTTGACATTATTGCGGTGGAAGTATTTACACCACAGAAAGCAGGGACAGCATATAAAGATGCCCCTCAGGTACAGCTCAGAGTGCCAGTTTTTAAACATTTAGCAACATACCACTGGAAATATGTAACATATTCATTTAGGTATTCATTCACAGTGGTTATAACTATTCATTCATTGTGTTTAGGTTTACTTTTGGTAACAGTTAAAAATCATTTGGAAATAATTTGTAAAAAATTGATGTATAATTAAGTTGTGTGGTATCATTTAGGTTATATATATAAATTACAGAATTGGATACATAGTAAGTATTATATGTGCTTGCTGTTGTTTTTGCTCCAGAAAATAAACCTGAGTTTCAAAAGATGATGTAAGTTTCCATGTACCAGCTCTTCTCGATTTTTTAAATAACATATGAATTACATTCAAACATGGTAATGATTAATAATCCAAGACAAATCCAGTTTGATGTATAGTTTTTATGACTTGGTTATGGTGGCCATGTGGAATTTTACTTAATTATTGTTATTCAAGTAAATACAAATTGATGTTATGTGAGCAGGTGTGATCTTATAAAATAATATACAGTATTTTTGCTTTTCCTTTGTAATAAATGTAGTAAAGATGTAAAATATGAAAGGCCAAAGTGTTACTCAGTTATCTGTCAAAAAGCCATGTTTTATAACTCTATGACCAGTGATGTTTTAGAATTTAACTATTTCATTAGCACATTATTATTAATTTTTCAATGTTTCTTTTGTACTTTGGTGTAGTGACTTTGTTAGTGATGCTTCATTTGTTCCTTGATCTTCTTTGTCATCTGCTCATTTTCTGGCAGTTTCTCCCTTTCTACGCACAGGTGTGCTGTTACCTTGCCGTTGCAATTATTAAATAAGAGTCACAAAAACTTTCATCTTTTTATCTATGCTAATGATGCAGCCCTATTCCTTATTCCTGAGTTAGAGAACATGCCTCCAAACTGTAAGAACAACAACAAAACAAATCTCAAACAAAATAACCAAATTCATACCAGTCAAAGCTTGTGCTGTAGCTGTAACGAAAACTTCATACTAGGATTATATATTCTTGGTGACATTTTGTTTTTCTTGGACAAAATGAGATGAGCATCTTGTGATGTGCAGAGTTTGTTTATGCAGGCATATCTTCTGGGAACCAGACGCTAGCAAGCTGAATAAGAACTACTGCCGGAATCCTGATGATGATGCCCATGGTCCCTGGTGCTACACGGGCAACCCTCTCATTCCTTGGGATTATTGTCCTATTTCTCGTTGTGAGTACACTTAACGATCTTTGTCAGGTGAAATATTTTAAGTACACTGCATCTTCTCCAAACTGGTACCTTGATGAGAGGTGAGAATAATATAGGACGACTACATCTGATCCCCAAATGAGGACGTGCTCCAGACAGCAACACACACACTTACAGTCATGATTACACATCCATGCACACACTCACACAACTGTATTCATTTTTCATCTAGACAAGGAGTCATTCTGCTGACCTTTTAAAGAAGATTTTCCTTTCTCAGAAGATTCTCATTTATAATTCAGAAGTAATAATTCGCTATGGTTTTAATAGAACTGCCCTAAAAAGGCCTCCGCGTCCCCATCACCAATGCTTCCTGTTCAGCCTCTGAATGTAGCAGAGCTCTTTGCAAAGGCTCCAGCCCACTACCCATCTGATGAACAGACCAGAGATAATGGTGCTTCTTTCTTCTTCCCAGTTCTTTAGCCCAAAACTAAGGAGCCAGGAGCATTCTATCCACTTCTCTGAGCCAAGGACAATTGTGTTCAGAGCATTAGTATATAAAGAATGTATGTAAAAAATATATGTCTGATGTACTCCATATGAAAGATCCTCTATATATCAATGAAAAAGATGAGATAAGTTGGCAGAAAAATAAAGAAAATGAATCTTCAAGAATAAATACAATTAATAAACAAATGAAAAGTCATTAAAACTTAATCATAAGAAAAATGAAATGATGACAGCATAAAAAATAATTTCTACCTATCAGGTTGGCAAATAAGAAAATAATTATTAATGCCCAATATTCAAGAGGGCCTGGGTTTTCAACCTCAATATTAACAACACTTTGTGCTGGATAAATCTTGTGGGAGGCTGTTTACACAAGCTCACTTGCTCATTACAAGATGTTTAGTGGTGTCCCCAGCCTCAATCCACTAGATACCAATAACACTGCCAATCCCTGCAGTCATGACAATCAAAACTGTTCCCAGACATTGCCCATTGTTTCCTTGGAGGGAGGTGGGATACCCCCATTGAGAAATACGGATGTAGAGTAAGATATTTTGAGATAGAAATATGTCTTCAACTGGTTATTGAGTGAAAAAACCTTATTATAGAACTGTATAGTAGCAAGAGGCTACTGTACTACACTACCTATCACAGAGTTCTATGTTATAGCAAACATCTTTAAATACTGTTAAACTGTCTTCTTGTTTAAAAACCATATGATTTTATAAGTTTAGTAAGAGTCTGTTTTAAGAATGTATTTCTTGTGAGGCAAGCCAGTGACGAGGACCTTGAAAATAACAGCAAAAGCACCTGCTTTAAAGACATTAGATTGAAAAAATGATATTTGCTTTAAAACATGAAATATAAACACAAGTTTATATTTTCCTTAATGTCCAACTAAAAAGATAATTTTTCACCTTAAGGACATTTGTCAGGTTTCATGAAATGTTAGCATAAAATGTCTAACCTTAAATATAATGTTAATCAAGTATATCTGTAATTAAGACTTGGAACTTCCCAATTTATTTTTAATAAATTCTTCATAATAATAATAAAAAATCTTATATTTTTGCAAAGAAATACTATTTATATTGTTACATTTTATTTCTTCAGCTATAATCATTGCCTTTCAAATTAATTAGTGCTTCCCTAGTGTTCTATTTTTCCCATATCAGAGTTTGCATAGTTCTGAAAATGTTCTTCTACAGATGTCTTCCCAAGTTTTAACACTAAAACAACCAAGCAAACAAACCTTCTTCTCTGGTACATGATGTTTTAAAAATGGTTAAGGAATTATATTTTCTAAATGTTAGTTTTACCTCACGAAACTTTTTGATAAGTTTCTGTGATTAAGAATAATAAAGGCTAGTAGAATATCCAATGATCTAGGAAGAAGAAAAAAATGGTCAATGATCTGGCTTTTAAAACAGGTATGGATGCTTTCCATACAGGATTCCAGGTTTGTAAACATCACATTAACTTAATTTTTAGGACATAGAATGCCCTTGTAGAAACTCCGGGAACTGTGCTTTGTATTATAAATCTAATTGACATAGGACTCTAATAACTTAAAGATTTTAAAACATGTTTTCAGCTCACAGTTTTAAACTAAAAGTTGTAATATGCTATTGAAAGATTCAAGTGTTGCTAGTATTTGATTAAATGCTATTGCAGATATCTCATTTTTATTTCAATGTCTTCTGCACATTAATTTTTTAAAAATATTTTTACACTGTCATTATTCTAACTAATATTTATAGCTAGGATTTATTTATATTTTACCACTGGTGAAAGGCTAATAAAATGTATCTTTAGAACGTATGAGGTCTTGTTTATTTAACTACAGAGATTATATAAATCATTTTCACAGTATATATTTGTAATATTACAAAACAGGTAGAGGTTTTTATTACTTTAAAAATATTTACAAAATAATATTTATATATTTTAAGAATATCAAATATGCAAAAATAAAACTATAAAAATGTTAATACATTTGTCTATACACATATGCATTCAATATGGCTTTAAAAAATCTTAGTTTTCACCAACTGAGAGTGTAGTGGTTAAGAGCATCAACTCTGATGTCTTGGATAAGAATTCCAGCTCTACCACTACAAGTGCTTTGGTTGTTATTTCCACCCTAATTTTTTTGTTTATTTATTCATTTATTAACAATTTAAAATTGAGCTACTGTTGTGTGCAAAACTCTATATAACATGCTAAGTACACAACAATATAAACAATGTTCCTTATCTTTAAATAGTTTTCAGTGTGGAAAAGACATTTCTGTAAAAAAATTGCAAATATAATCATGTAATAAATACATGTTAATATTAAAATATGAGGATATGGACATAGATGTCTGCATAGAGAAATATGTGATGTTCATAAAGTTTTGAACCTGAGTCAAAAATTTAAGAATTATTAAAAGATTTGTTTTGGGTAACAGTTTATATTTGATCCGGAGGCCATACAAACGCACACATGCACACATTTCCTACTCTTCCATAGATACAACTTTTATCATTCATGTTTCTGTTCTTCAAATATAAGTTGAATCAATACAGTCAGATTTTTATTGCATTTTTTTTTTAGATTTGTATACTGTGGTAGAGATAGTGGGGAAGAAGTAAAAGAGGGAAATTGAGAATAGTACTTGGTGGTAAAATGGAAGAGACCTAGGGAGCAGTTTCTCAAGGTTTTGCTTAAAATGTGCAACAGAAGAACCTGGAATGCTTTTTAAAAAATTCATAATCTAGCTTTCAACCCAGAATCTCCAGAAGCCTGATCTTAAGTGGTATTTCAGCTTATTCTAAAGTGTGAGAAATATTGGTATAGAGGAAACGATATGTGTATATATTCTCAATTATTAATTGAGAATATTAGTATCAATAATAAAATATTAACAATTACCTATGATTAATCATTAAAGTCCATAACTTACTATTTCTACAAATTTTGAAAATTTAAATATTTTAGTAAGGTCCAATAATGAACTAAATACTATATTGACCTATTACCTTAATGCTTAGAAATAGAAAATTTGATATGTAATTTTAGTCTTTCTGAATAAGGCAACATAAGAAATAAATATCTAGTTTTTTATTTTATAATTTTTAAGTAATTAACTTGAGTGGAAAAACCAATATCCTTGATATTTTAATGACCCACAGTCAGCCTCAATCCTTATTTGTATTACAAGCTAAAACCTTGACCTCAGCCAACTCTAAGACAAAACCCTCCCTGAAGATAACTAAAGGGAAAGAGAAATGATGAAATTTATGTTTGCCTTTATCCTTATTCATTTAAAATACCTAGATCTGGTAAGTGAACTTAAGTAAAAACTCTTCAGCATGTATTAATTCTCTGGAGATTCTTGATAAATAACAATCAAGTTTACATTTATTACAAAGAAATCCATATGCCATTATTCTTTTGTTGACAGTTTATTTGAGCTTAGGGATATCCAGAGATTAACAACCAGCTGGGTCCAAACAGTGCCTGACTAAACTCAATGCCATCAATTCTGAACAGTCAAACATTAAACTCCACAGACATTAAATGTCTTGTGCCTCATTCATTACTGCATAAGTATTCTCAAGTCCTGGCATCTTCCAAGTCTTTTTCTTTGTAGCAATTAAGACCCAGTAGGGAGGTTATGAAAAAGGACTAAGGTATGAGGTTTTAGTTAGAATTAATTTGCAGTTTCTTATGTTCTCTTCCTTCCATATTTTTTATTACCATCTGGAAAAATGAGTCTTTGAAATATTCTAAAAAAGCCAAATTATATTCTGTTATCCCTTTTTGTCCATCGATGATATTGTTTTCTCTCATCTAGAATTATTTTTAATTTAAAAATTTTTTAAAGTACATAAAGGTTTTATGTATTTCTTTCTGAAGAATGGGGAAGGGAGGGAATAAGAGTAGGAGAGAAACTTTAATGTGTGGTTGCCTCTCATGTGCTCCCAACTGGGGACCTGGTCCTCAACCCAGGCATGTGCCCTGACTGGGAATTGAACCAGAGACCCTTTCGTTCACAGGCCATTGCTCAATACACTGAGTCACAGCAGCCAGGCCTATCTTCTAGAATTCTTAAAATTTTTTGAAGTATGTGAAGTTTCAGTTATCCTTAACCATATTTTTAAAAAAGTAATTTTCAGAATAAATATAAATAGGCCAAATTATAGTAAAAACATAGTTTAGCCATTTGAATGGTCCAAGCAAGCAATGATAAGCATTAGTGCTATTCAATGAGAGTTTCCTTTTGTACAATGTTTAGAATGAGGCAGCTTCTTGATGCTGGTAGAGAGCCTCCACCATTATAAGATAGGCTTTCCTCACATCACACAATACCAGTAGGCACATACCTTCAATATTGTCTAGTAAAATGACATATAATTACTCAAAAGAGAGCAACTGCATTTTATCTTTGAATACAATGTCAAGAATTTTAGTAAAGTTATTTTTCGGACAATGCCAAGTGTACCAACATTCATATTCATAAGGGTGCCAGAGGGAGAAGAGAAAGAGCAATAAATTAAGAAATTTATTTGAAAAAATAATGAAAAAAATACCTTCTCTAATTTGGTGAAAGAAATAGACATGCAAGTCCAGGAAGCACAGAGGGTCCCAAACAAGATGGACATAAACAGGTTCACACCAAGATGCATCATAATTAAAATGTCAAAAGTTAAAGAGAGAACCTTAAAACCAGCAAGAGAAAAACAGTTAGTTACCTACAGAGGAGTTCCCATAAGACAGTCAGCTGATTTGTCAAAAGAAACTTTTCAGGTTAGAAGGAATTGACAAGGCATATTCAAAGTCAGGAAAAGCAGGGACCTACAGCCAAGATGTCCTACCCAGCAAAGCTATCATTTAGAATTAAAGGGCAGGTAAACATCTTCATAGACAAGATAAAAAAATTAAAGGAGTTCATCACCACCAAACCATCATTATATGAAATGTTAAAGGGACTTATTTAAGAAAAAGAAAATGAAAACTATGACCAATAAAATGGCAATAAATACATATCTATCAACAATTGTATCTAAAAAAACAAACTAAACAAACAAAAAGAACAGGGACAGAATCATGAATACAGAGAGGGTTTTGATGGTTACCAGATGGGAGAGGGGTATGAGGGAATGGGTAAAGAGGTGAGGGGAATAAGAAGTACAAATTGGCAGTTACAGAATAGTCACGGGGATGTAAAATACAGTATAGCAAACAGGGTAGCCAAAGAACTTACATACATGACCCATGGACATGAACAATGGTGTGGGGATTGCCTGAGGGAGTAGGGGGTGCTGGATAGAGGGAGGCAAAGGGAGGAAATTGGGATAGCTGTAATAGCATAATCAATAAAATATAGCTAAAAAATAATTTTAGTAGTTTACCCAATTCATGGATATTTAAATTTCAATATATAGCATTGGTTCTATATAACAGAAATATGTATGTATGAATCATTTATATATGTATATACTTACTTTTACAGGTGAAGGTGATACCACACCTACAATAGTCAATTTAGACCGTAAGTAATATTTGGTATATTTGAGTCTCTTTGTGTCAGAAGTGATGTCATTATTTTATTCATAGCAAAATATCTTTCCACTATATTGACTTCCATCATAAAAAATAAGTTAATCTATTTATCTTCACTTAATTTTTTTTGATGTGCATATGTAATGGAATTACTAAGGTAACTGCATAGCAAGTATCAAATTTTAATTCTCTATCAGGAAACTTAAGATATTATATTCAACTTTAAACAAACTTTTAATTGTGGGCAAAATGTACGTATCAACCTTTACTCTCCTTTTAAATTAAATAAAGATGCAAAACTCAGAATGGATGCAACCAGAAGGCTAAAAACTTGTGCAGTGTCTCTATCCCAGCCTATCTTTAAAGCTCTTTGCCTGCTCTACTAGGCAAAAGGTGACACAGCCTGAAAGGCTCAGTTAATGCTTATTTAAGATCTGTTGAGAGCTGCTTGTTTTTAATTTTCACATATTTCTTGAGCTAAAGGCAGCCACTCACGTTTTGATTTATGTCATTCAGATATAACGATTACAATAATAATTAGAATAATAATAATAATAAACAGAATGTTGGTAACCTGTTTTAAAATGGCTCTGCATTCTCACTGTACAATTTCAGTAATAAACACAATATAATTTTTGTTTAATTTTTTTGTTTCACTCAGGCTATTGATTTCCATTGATATTTAGAAATAACCACTATAGTGGGGAAGGACTGAGGGTGGGAGGTGGGGGCAGAGGAAAGTCGTGGTGGGAAAATGCAGACAAATGTATTTGAACAATTAAAAAAAAAAGAAATAACCACTATAAATGACATTGATTCATTTATGTTGAGGTTCATGAGGGAAATACAATTGCTGAAGGACCCGAAGAACTTGAACTTAGTGCTGGGTGAGGAAAGGCACTGTCACCATCATGACAATGCTGTTGACCTTGAGTTGATGAGGCTTTCCGTGTTACTCCTGTAACTAAGATGAGGATAACAAACATTTTGGACCTGATCTGGCACTTTACTCATAATATTTTTCCCCAAAATGTTGTTCTGACCCAATTACAGTAGTTACATTTCTCTGGTTACCATGGCATTTAAGAAAGCTAAGAGACAGGGTATTTAAAAATGTTTTGTCAAAATGTTATGTTTGGTCCTCTTTTTAGATCCTGTAATATCTTGTGCCAAAACAAAACAGTTGCGAGTTGTAAATGGAATTCCAACACGAACAAATGTAGGATGGATGGTTAGTTTGAAATACAGGTAATTATTAATAGACAAAAATCATATGTGTTTGGCTTATTTGCAAAAGGTGTATTCTCAGCAGTATGGCCATATGTAGTCATGCAGGTTGTGCCCTCCACATAGGCATCCATGAAGGGGGCCCCAACAGGGGACTGATGACATTCTGTGTGCCACCCAACCCTAGGTTTTGCAATTTGTGCTCCCAGAGATAGTGCCTTTTTCCATGTTCACAGAGGTCCCATATGTGTTGTTATCCCTAATTACAAGTGACACTTCAGTTCTGATTAAGCAAAAGACAACTATACAGAAACTTACTTACATCTTGATATCTCCAAACTAGTTAGAATGCATATATTATTAATTTCCCAATCTAAGATATTTTGACTTTATTTTTAACATGTCTATGTATAATCATATCAGATTTTATATTTGTTTAATGTTTTTATTTTTTATCATCATACCAGTGAGAATGGCAATAATTTTAAATTCTAGAATATTTTACCATTAAGAATAATATTAACAAACAATGATGGCAGAATAGTCCTGCTATTATAATATTTAGTGTAGATAAAAAATTCTTGACCTATCTATTTCTCAGTGCTCATAAGAATGAATGGCATGTTCTAGGTAGAATCACTTTACAAAGTATACTGTTAAAGCAAAATTAGCCTTAGTAATTCTGTTGTAAGAGTTTAATATTGAAAATGAGAGCTACCTTAAAATCTGACCTTAAAACTTTCTACATACTACATATATTATGCCATATGGTAATTAGAACGGTAAAATATTTTTTGACAGTATCTGTCTCTACTGGAACCTCATCATGCAATATACCCAAAAATACACATGAATTCTAACCATATTTTCTCTTGTTTTCAAGACACCTTATGTTTCCCTTTCAAGCTTTGCGCTGTTCTTCCCACTGCATGTTGTAGCTTTCTTCCTTCATATGTAGGTTTAGAGAATCCTCCTTATTTTTCAAATATCAACTCAAATGTCTCCTTCTATGGGAAATTCTCTGTTTCTTTAACTCTAGCTTCTTAGAGTAGAGGAAGAAAGCATTTCTTTTACTATAATTAAATTACAGTGATATTAAAGTAGAATAGACACAACCTGAAACTGAAGTTCTTTTATGAATAAGACAGTTCTTAGGAAGCACAATCTTTTGACATATACCATAAAGAATGTGGCCTAAAGTTCTCTTTTAGTATGTCTTTCTTTTGAGGAGTACATGATTAAATTTTTATAAGTATGTATGTTGATAATTGTAGTATGGGTCCTAGGTATACAGTACTTAAATAGAATTGTGGCTCACCAGAATATTATAGCTAATTGTGCAATATGAAGATTTAATGAAGGCTGTAAAACTTTGGAGCAGTGTTACATTCTATTTATCATAAAAAATGTTTCAAGAATCCATCTCTAAAGTAGTGATTCTTTGTAAATTTCATAACTCCAGAAAAACAAGTATGTACATCTGAATTTATTATGACCAATAGACTACAAGGGTTCTCCTTTGGAAGTTTTCATGGAGAAGCAGGTGAAACTGTTTTTCATTAGATCAGTGTACTATAAACTTTTAGGAAAAAAACATTTTTCTTTTAAATCCAAGTTCTTAGTAACAACAGCTGTTTAGTTATTATTCCAAAACACATACTGAGAAGAATAGAAATTAAAGCTTGATATATACTCTTATCCTCCTGTGTGGTACAGGCCATAAATAACCATGGTTTTAGTCTGGGAATCTTCTTCTATTACTCTCTCAAGCACTGAACATCTGTACACTTTGGAAATGTAAATTGTGAAAAGGACTTTTCTGTTTTCTGCCAAAAATAATGGATTTACAGATTTTGGATATCATCAAATAAATGTACTAGTATCTAGTATTCTTCACAAATATCTTATAATTTACCAGAGGATATGCATTGGAAAATTACCTAATTTTATAAATAAAATAATATATTGCCGGTCTTAAGCTGAACAAAGAAATGTACTCAGTTATATTTTAGTTAATACACCAGAACTAAATAAGGGCAATGAAAGAAGAAAACTGTACAAATTTTATATATTGCTACTACTACATAAATTTAAATAAACACTCAAATATACATTTTCATAATGAAACACTGAATAGGTCTACATTGTTTTTGTTGTTCATATTTTCGTTCATTCTAATTATCTTCTATTTGTAGCACATAGATTCTCTCACAACGAATGGATCTTGGTATGTAGTGAAGGGTTCTTTATATAAAGACAAAGTTGATTTCATAAAATTGTAATAACATTATTAAAAAAGTGCTAATACTGCAATCACAAAATATCTTTTTGAAAAAGGATTACTCATTTTATTCTAGTTGGGTTAATTTCTACATTTTTCTCTCAAATGCATTTATTTATTTGTTTTTAACAAATGTAGCTATAGGTTTTACACTAATTGGCAGCCAACCTTCCTGCACAGATGTTACTTGTTTCTCTTTCCTCTTTCTCATAGAAATAAACATATCTGTGGAGGATCATTGATAAAGGAAAGTTGGATTCTTACTGCAAGACAGTGCTTCCCTTCTCGGTAAAATATTTCTGAAACCAATTACTTGTTTCAAGCATTTAAAAATATGTATGGATTCCATTTAGCTTTTAAGCTTAATATGTGTATTTATTTAACAGATTGACCAGCATGGCGTGAACAAACTAATTTTTCCTTGATTCAGCTAACAAAACTTTGACTTAATTGATATTTGTTAACTGGGTACTACTTCTATTCCCCAAGGGGGAAAATTTGCGGGAATTATGTAAATAGTTTTACTCCAACCTCTTGCATTCTAGATAGAAGTTATATTTCTAGATAGAAGTTATTTTTTTTGGAATTATCAAAAACTTTCTCTCAAATGTCACTTATACTTTTCTTATGTAGATACAGCCTCAGAATCATCCTGGGACTAATTTATTAGTCCAAGGAAAAGATTGGAGGCAGCATTTGTAAGCTAACTTCCTAATTCTCATCAAGGTCACTCCGGTGTTGTTAGTATAAATCTTTAACCCCCGTTAAGAAACAAAACGTATACACAGCTGAGATAAAAAGGAAACTTTGTAGTAAAATTATAATTCACGTAATATGCTTTAACCTGAAAAAAATTTCTCTATAGCAAGCATAATCAAAATTATTTTCAAACAGCCATTTAGATTATCAGCAATGTTTACGTTCTTCCTGCTTATACCTGCTGGTACGTCTCAGAATTTTGCAACAGAAATGTTGCTCTTTATTATACACTGAATTAAAATTTAAATATAGGTGGTTTTCTGCCCTTATAAGCTAAAATAATGATATATATGAATACTATTACACAATTTAACATTAATTTTACTTCTTTTTTTTTTTTTTTACTTAGAACCAAAGACTTGAAAGACTATGAAGTTTGGCTTGGAATTCATGATGTCCACGGAAGAGGAGATGAGAAACACAAACAGGTTCTAAATGTTTCCCAGGTGGTATATGGGCCTGAAGGATCGGATCTGGTATTACTGAAGCTTGCTAGGTTAGTTCCTTTGGAAGGTTTTGTATTTTTAACCCATAATGGGATTGTTGAAGCTCTTTCAGCTATGGCTATTTCTTTTGTCTCATGTAGATTTATTATAAAAACATGTGTCATGTTATATATATGTATATGTGTATATGTATGTGTGCACGTACACACAGAGAAGGATTTTCAAAATTTTCAAAAATGAGTAAGTGAGGTTGGGCTACAGTCTGACCCACCTACTCTAAAACCAAAGCTTAGTGAGCAATTAATTATTTGATAATTTTAACTGGTAAAATATTGATTTAAGAATAAAGATAGCAGTGCCCATTTATTTTTATATATTAGCAAATAATTCATTTTCTACCACTTACTCCAGATTCCTGCATTATATATTAAACATTTCCTTTTTCTTCTTCAAGAAACATGAACTTTTATTCTCTCAAAATGTCATATTAAATATTAACACTATATTTCAATATGTAATTTTGTGTTGAATCCAATTAAGAGTACTACTATTATATTTTCTCTTTTCAGACCCGCTGTCCTGGATGATTTTGTTAGTACAATTGATTTACCTAATTATGGATGCACAATTCCTGAAAAAACCACTTGTAGTGTTTATGGCTGGGGCTACACTGGATGTAAGCTATTTTTAAAAAGATAAGGCAAAATCATATTTATTATATTAAATAAAATAGTATTTTATTTTGCTTTTCTCACCTTACCCTGAGCTCATTAACTGTATATTTTGTGCACTATTTTAGTGATCAACTCTGATGGTCTCTTACGAGTAGCACATCTCTATATTATGGGGAATGAGAAATGCAGCCAATACCATCGCGGGAAGGTGACTCTGAATGAATCTGAAATATGTGCTGGAGTTGAAAATATTGCAACAGGACCATGTGAGGTAAAAAGGGCATATGTGAAGAATAGCATAGTTTTTCATGTTTATTTTTTGTCTATTTTTCTCAAATAAAAGTCACTGTATGCCAACATGTCCCAAGACTGAGGAACTGGAAAAGATAACCCTGTATTATCCTTGTATATTTCTTTTAATTAAACACTGAGACAATCCCTGTTTTGTTAGCAGTAAACTATGATGACAGTTGTCTTAAAAAAAAAGAAAAGAAAAGAAACTAACAAAATAATAAAGCCAGAATTCTAAAGGAAGCTGTTCTACTTAGAAGTATCCAATAGGAGTTTGATATAATAGCTTTAACTTTCCTAATCTTTTTCGAAATTGATCTGATCTTCCCAAATTCTCCCCAAATGAACTATACTGATACCTTTAAGAAGTACCGGTTTAGTTTTAAACTTTTAAATGGGTTTTTGGTTAAGCCATTGTGTGTATGTGTTCCTGTCTGTGTGTTTTAACAAATTCTATTTAAAAAACCAAAAGGTAAAAGTCTGTGACTTTAAGAGCTTGGACACTGTAATTTGTTATGCAAGTGTTCTAACTTGGCAGTGTTCCTAACCCAGTTTTACACAGACAAGTTGTTAAACTGTTATTTTAGATGTATTTTGAATGTAAGAAACATGCTCTTCAAGCTTGGGAACTGTGGAATTGTAGGATATTATGTGTAGTAAAGCATAGAATGAGTTCAATAATAGTGAAATGTCTTTTGACATGTAGGAAATGTCCTAAGTATGGAGCATTAATGTGTTAGAAATGCATGTGTTAAATATATTGCTCTGAGATTTATTCCTGAAAAGAAAATGTTTATTAAGTTAAAGCACTTTTAGAACTCCTTAAAATGATATGGTTAGAAACAGATTATGTGTAAAACCATTTGTAAATGTGTTGGTGTTTCCAGTAAGTCAGTAGTTCTGTATTCATTATAACAAGTGAAAATCTGCTAGAAGAAAGAAATTTTCCTCCCTCCATCCCTCCCCCTTCCCTTCCTCCCCCTCCCTCCAGTCTGTCCCTCCCTCCTTTCCCTCCCTCCTTCCCTCCCTCCCTCCCTCCCTTCCTTCCTTCCTTCCTTCTTTCCTTCCTTCCTTCCCTTTAGATCCCTGAATTTTGAGCTAGATCCAATCTCTGTGATCACTTGAAGCTATGCACTTATTCCAGCCCTAGTGCCACTACTAAAAATGCTTTGACGACTGATCTTCGGGAACAGCCTGTAATCTGGTTTATTATCTATACATTATTAGATTCCTAACTTTAGCATTGAAGTTTTTATCACATTACCATATATTTGTTATTTTTATTCGTAAGGACAAGACATGACTTCAAATTGAGTCTACCACTTCTCAAAAATGCAGTTGTCTTCCAGAATGCTTTTTTTAAATCAGTTATTTTTAAAACAGGCAATAAAAACACTGAAACCACTGAAATCTAAACACTTAAAAAAGAAATCTCCTAAATGTTTGTATAACAGCAATAGCACCACATTTAGAAAGAGAAGTTTCCCAAAGCAAATTGCTTTGGAGAGATTATATCAGTAATTATTGGTGCTTTTATTTAAAAATCAAATTTATCAACTCATGCGGCATAATCTAAGTAGTCTCTTAGAATAAATTATTTTTCTTCACTGTTTTATATTCTACTTTACCCCTCCTTGACTTTCCCTATCATAAGATGTTGATAGCTCTCCTCTTTCCACCTGTATTACAGAACTAAATTTTGCAGTAGTTTACTTCTATCACATCATTCTTGTGGGAGAATTCAGATAGTCCCAAACACTCTTTCTCATACCAGAATACCAAAAGACAGTCATCACAATCTGAGGAGGCCACATGGTGCGTAAAAGTGATGCAATGCATTAATGATTATATACAACAATATGTGTATATACAGGGTGGGGCTAAAGTAGGTTTACAGTTGTGAGTATGCAAAAGTTTATTCTTCTATCATTATATATTATTATATTATTTGCCATGTGAACAACTGTATATCTGTATATAAAAATATATACATAAAGCAATGTATTCATCTATCATGTATATGTATATCTGATGATGTAACAGGGTTACTGTAAAAAAAATGCCATCAAATCACGGGATACCTTCCACAATGGGGGTATACAAATAAATATAACTATATTAACTACTGATGTCAACAGAAAGTGCAAAACTAATCCTTTTTTATGCCTGGAGAAGCAGTTTCTAAAGAGTAAATGGGATTATTTTTGTCACCTATCTATTTTTATTTCACTTGTTAAAATCATTTTAGAGGCAGGATTGGAGGAAGGAATAAAAAGGCTTTAGAAATAAGAGATAACTTAATGCAGTTTAATCATTAAACCTGTATGATTATGGGAGGGGTGTTGTACTTGCATTTTTCTACATTTTGTAAATTTTCTGTATTGAACACATTTTGAACATCAGAATAAAATCAAAATAAATATAATATCTACCTTCTAAAATAGCTGTCAGTGGCTATGTGTTAGTATGCATTTAAAAAAAACAAACCCACTTTAAAAGATGAATGAATATTTTGGAAAATATGTCATTCTTAAATGAATACTGCATGTAATAGAAGACTTTGAACTTTTCTATTTATCCCAATCTTACTTGGTTAATTTAATACAAAGTTAGCCGATGGTCTGGTCTATCAATTTTATTTAAGTCTCAGTTATTCTCTTTTTTTGTTTATACCTTTGAGAGAGAGATATATATATATATAAATAAAATGTTAATGAAATATTCATTTTTATTTCTAAAAATAATACTTTGTTGTTGTTTTTGTTACATGTTTTCTTCCTAGGGGGATTATGGTGGCCCGCTTGTTTGTGAACAGCATAAAATGAGAATGGTTCTTGGTGTCATTGTTCCTGGTCGTGGATGTGCCATTGCAAATCGTCCTGGTATTTTTGTCCGGGTAGCATATTATGCAAAATGGATACATAAAATTTTATTAACATATAAGGTACCACAGTTGTAGCTGATATGACTGTGCCTGAAGCTTCCATCAATACAGCTCTCTTTTACATGAAGATTCAGAGAACATGGAATTAAAATGTCCTTTAAAACAGTCCTAAGACAACTACTTGAGTGTCATGTTTGTTAAGATACTCATTAATATTTATGGGTGTTTCTGTTGTTTGTCAGTGTTATTTTGTAAATGTTGAAGTGAATTAAGGTACATGCAAGTGTAGTAACATATCTCCTGAAGATACTTGAATGGATTAAAAAATGCAAAGGTATAACTGTTGGATGATAAAAGATTTAATGGAAAAACCAATTAATCTCTCTACGCTGCTTTCCAAGGTTAGTTTCTTAATAACGAATAAACCATAAGTTAAACATTATTTTAACCTCACAAAACAATTTACACCTTGTTTCTTTAAATTGTAACTCAATATTAAATTATATTACCTTTTTTATGCCATGCATTATTTCATTTGTTTCTCCTTACCGTGTATCCTGTATTACTGATACACATACTTTTTGTAAGAACATGTATCCATATACACATGCCTGGGTACCCATGTACATGCACTAGAGTTCAAATCGTGGTGTATCTAATGGAACCCTTAAATATTCTGAAAGTGTGTACTTGTAGTTTTTTTCTTAAGAAAAAAATAGAAATTTCTAAAGACCAGTAGAAATACTAAGGAAAAGTACAAGACAGAAATGACTAGCTAAACCTAATATATAATCTACAGATGACCTCTACTGGTTGGCATTTAAGGTGTGTTCATGGTGCACAAAGTTAAATAACACCTAATCTAGGTGATTATTCAGTACATGTTTTTATCTTCCTAGTTATTTTATGTAGTTTCTAATTCTTAAAGAGAAGGGGGTATTATGTGTTTTAGTCTCATTTCTTGCCTCCAAATTTAGGGCCACTTTTTTTATGCAAGATATTTTTAGACTTATTTTCCTAAAGTATTTTTAAAATGTTTAGATAACTATGTAGTTGAAGTTAAAAAGTATTTTAGTCTTTAAAATATATTTAAGTAAGTTAACTCTAAGACTTGTTGTGATTGGCTTCTAACTCACCTTATTCATTTTTAAAAATTATTTCAGAGGAACATTTCCATGCCTCCAAAGATTTGCAAATCACCCCTTTTCAAATTATGTATTAAAGTATATATTAAAGAAAAAATCTGAACACTTTTTTTTACTTCAAAATCTTTTAGCCTATAAAACTTTATTCAAGTAAAGAAAAAAATGTAAAAGGAAAGAAAGAAAATGGCATCTATTTACCTTTTACTTTACTAAGTTTATTTTTTAAAAAGTTGAGTTGAATCTGCTGAATGAGATATTTTATCAAGATATCTTCATTTTTATCTCCATTTTATGAAGATCTTTCCTATGGTATGAAAAATATTCAAATTTTGTATTCTATATGATAACTAAATTATATGGCTGTACCTGTGATTAGCTGAAGTTCATATATTTGTCAAGAAATGAGATAAAGATTACTTGGATAGGTTCTGAATTTTTACAAAATCCTTCTGTACAAAAGCCCTTTAAAAATGATTATTTAAATGACTTAAATCCAGTATTCCCACAGCTCTGACTAGTTGTCTTGAATGATCGTTATTAAGGCTAGGGATTTTATGAAAGGGTAAAAACACCACCACCGATAAACCATCAGACATGGTACACAAAGCAGTTATTCATTTGGGAATTTTCCTTCGTAACAGATGGAAATAGGTGGAATTGACAGTAAAAGCAAGATGAACATACATGTTATTTTATAGGTGGTAGGACAGGGTATAATCATGTCTTTTTCTCCATACTATTCTCCGTACTTTTTTCCCAATACTATTGCCTGGGGCATTCTTTTCTTATAAACAACAAAAAAAATGGAATATCCAATTAATACAAAAATCCATTTCATTTTGAGTCACTGACAAAACAATCTTTTAAATTAGAAGTTTTCAATGCTATTTTTATTTTGGCTGTTTGAATAATGGTTACATGTTATTATAATTATGGACGTTTTCTTATGTCTACCAGGAATAGTAATGTAAAATTAAAATATTTGCCATAATGCCTCTGCTGTGCAGAAGGGATGATAATCCATTTTTATACTTCTCTATTTTTATTGTAAAATATGTAATAACTTTTACCTATTTGCTGTGGGCAGGTCCTCAGTAAAATGGTTTATATTGAATCAATCTCTAGTATTAATAGACTCTTGCTTGCTATCTAAGTGTTTCAGACTATGGGAAATGGGAGACACTGGAAGGCAAGAAAAATAACAATAATGGTATGTGATAGCAAAATTCTATTTCACTTATTCCTGTGAATATTTCCTGTTGGTACCAATGGTACTGTACAAAGTGAATGTTATAGCCACAACATTCTCTTGAAAAATAACACTGTCGAGAAATGAAAAATTCCTATCAGGCATTTTCTTGTTATTTTGAAACATTTTTTAAAAAGAAATACTGTTTTTGTAATAGAGAGATAATGACATAAACAATGTTAATAAACCCTCATGTTGAAAAACTTAAAATTGACTTACTGAGGTTGAAAAATTGACTACTTTAAAACATTTATATCCCATATTTATAGACAATCTCATCTGAAAAATAAAATTAATTTTCATAAAAAGACATAGTCTTTGTGTGAATAAATTACTTTTTACAACAAAGCCCAAAAATAAGCTATTTTCAATTGTTCAACTACATTCTGAACTAAGAATTTAGTAATACGAAAAAAGTTTAAATCCTTTGGCACTTATAAATCTTGACAGTGTAATTTTAAGTAGATTCATTTCCATTTGCACAGAAAGTTTCTGTCTTTAGGAAACTGAAAATAGAATACTGTGGATGTTATGACTGTTTGTGTTGTGTGTAAATAGGAAATTGATAAGCTGCCTATTCAGTGGTATAGCGGGATGCTTACCCAAAAAAGGGAACACTGTGGTTATGACTTGTATATGAAGTTAATGTAGTTAATAAAATTATTATTTTTATAGCCATGATCATACTATTATTATTATTAATAAAATATTTTACCAAAATGCTCTTCTTTGTTTATTAAAATTATATACATGGACATATCTGAATCTGTTCTAGGGCTTAATACAGAAAACATCAACAATGATTTTATTGACAGAAATAACATAAAATTTGTTGCAAGAAATGTCATATAATTTGTTTATAGAGAAAAGACAAAAGTTATTTTATTCTAACATCTACCCATGGCAATATCAGTGGTCTTCAGTAAACCATCAGTCTCTTTGCACTTCAGTGTTTCCCACTATGAAATAGAATTACTTAGTCATTCTTCATATTTACCAGGATGGCACTATGATGTACTTTGTTAATATATACAAAATATTGTCATGAATAATCACCTAAATTTCTTTATTTTATCACTATATATTACAAAGATAACTATAAATGATTCAATTAATCAATCTGAGTGGATCTTCAAAATATGCATTAAACTTAAATAAACATGAACCAAATGGGCTCACTTAATTCAAATTGGAAGCAAGATTGAAAGAACTAATTACAAATTGATCAAACCAAAACGAGCTCTATAACACCAATGATTATTTCAAGTTGTGCTCTACTGCCTCTTCCTCAAAAGGGCTGCTCTAATTTTTCTCCATAAATACTTACCTCAAGTGTGATTAATGTATCTAATTCTCGTGTCTATGATAAAATATCTGATCTTCTTAATGATTTTAATCCAAGAAGATTATATGTACTTATTAATTTCTGGTGTTAGTTTCTGGCGTTAGAGTATTTCAAATACACATACAAAATTTAGACTTGTCAAAATTTTGACTTTTCCCCTCTTTTTTCTAGACCTCCATTCTATTCTAAACCTATATTCTGCTATTTTATATGGAATAGTCCAAGAAATCTTTAAAAGGAAACATTTGAACAGGGTTCTCAATGAAGTGAGAGAGTGAGCAGTGTAAATATCTGGGATCTGATAAAACTTGGACAATATTTTTGTTAGTTTCTTAATATAGATTATTTATTTACTCTTACAAATTGTAATGCTTTAATTAGTCACCATTTGTTAGTATCCTGAAAATAATTACCTTGGTTTACATTTTCTCAATGTTTTAGTCCAGAACTTTTATCGTCATTCTGTTTCTTTATTTTCCTACACAGGCACCAAACTTAGTCTATACAATCTACACAATTTCACCAAATTACAAGCCTTCTGTGTAAAATTCAGATTAGAAGTCTTGTTCTAGACAGTCTATTTTTTCTTTTATCTTGCATTTACAAATATCTCCACTGTATGTATTGTTTAGGAAAGCTGAAATTTAAAAGTAACGGCTAGATAAAAATAATATTTGTAGTAAACCCAGCAAAGTTCACAGGACTACAGAGAATATGTTATTGTCTCAATCACACCTAAGAAAAAAAGAAAATACTGGGTAAAAGAAAGGCATTTTTACTTTTATTTAATATATTTCAAATGAAATGTGAGATTATAGATTATTTATAAGTATATTTGTGCTTTAAAAAAGTGAACAACACCATCAAACAAAACAAAAGCTAGCAACCCAACATACTACCTAACTCCAAACTAACTTTGGACATCTCTTCCGAATAGTCCTCAACACTCATCACTTGATTTTCTCATATGGAACATTACCTCACATCTAAACATCATGCCTGTATTAAAACAGTCCCTGTGAACTTCAAGTTTTTCATTATCTCCTCCAAACCTCCAAATGCCACATAATTTCCCCTGTGAATCCTATTTCAGCATCCTTATCTAGAAATCATCCATTCCTCTGCCTACTGCTGGGTTTGCTGAAGCTTCCTGTTCCCTTGTTGCAATAATCTGCCTATAAGATTCGTTTTGTTTTGCTTTGTATTTAACATGTACTCTTCTTTCACCGTTTGAGCTTTTTGGAGAAATCAGCAATGTCTGGCTATTAATATTTATTTATTCTATATTTTGCACAGTGCTTCACACATAATGAGAAACTTTGTATTTTATAATTGTT